TGATGTCATTAAATATATATTAGGTCTGTCCAAAACTCTCTGGCATTTGTCCTTTCCCAACATTACCGTGTATTTTAGTTTCTCAATCATGCTAGTTTAAAAACTACGGCCAAATCTAGTGAATGTCAAACTTGTGCAGTGAGTGACTCAAGTTAATTACAATCCTTTTGAACAGAAAATCATTGAGATTTGCAAAGAATCATTTGGGGGGTTAATATTCATTTTAAAGGAATAGAATGGTTCCTTTTAAAGCATCAGTTCTCCTGAATATGCATACATGTGCATTAATTTAAACACAAATATTCAGAAAGAAAAAAAATGAAAAACAAAAAAATTTTTTCTCCAAAAGGCCCAGAATGATGCTCCAGTGCAAAAAAACGGTCAGAGTGATGCTCCATAGATAAATATGGCCAGAATGGTCCTCTATATACAGTCACGCCCAGAATGATGCTCCTAAGACAGACAGACAGAATGATGCTCCAGAGATATACAAAGACAGAATGATGCTTCACAGAGACTTGGCCAGAATGATGTTCCTTAGACAGGGCCAGAATTACGCTCCATAGACAAGCATGGCCAGAATGATGCTCCATAGAAAGACACTTCCTGAACAAGGCTCCTTAGACAACCAGCCAGAATGATCCTCCGTACACTAACAGCCAAAAGTTGGTGGGAGATGGAATTAAATTATAATGGAATTTTCTCGTGAACTTTTTGAAGGACCCTCCTATAGGAGATAACAGATAACTGAAATAATACAATGCTCCGTGTATGCAAGGATAGCACTGCTAAACAAGCTGATTTTTTAAAATACTAGTGATACATTTAAGCTAATAAAATTATACTCTTGTACCTATCTTCTCTTCCAATTTCTCCAGTGCTGTCCAATATGGTAACCGCTAACCACATGTGACTATTAAACAACATGCTATTGATGAACAGACTGTTTGATTTTATGTAATTTGAAATAATTTAATTGTCTACATAATCAAGGGCTCTTTAAAGTGTTGCGGAGCAAGGATGTCACTTTAAGGACTAAGGAGTGCCAGGCCCAGGGTAGTCACCTCATTTGCTTATGAATGCAGGTCAGTGAAGAAGGAAGTCTACAGAATTAATGCATTTGAATTATGTTGTTATCAGGGTATATTAAAAGTACCTGGGACTTCCAGAAGAACAAACATAGAAACTTCCAGAACAGACATATGGGTCTTAGAAAAAATACAACCAGAGGCTCCTTAGAAGGACTGATACCGAGACCTCAGACCTCATCTCACAGATTCTAAGCACATTATCAACAGGGACCAGTCCCTGGAGAAAGATGCCATGCTTGGTAGACGGGCATTGAAAAAGACCCTCGACAAGATGGAGCAATACAGTGGTTGCAAGGACTGTGAGGGTGACTGCTGGCCGACTAGGTAGAGTGGGGTCCTCAGGGTCACTGTAAGCCTGAACTAACTTGAGAGTTTTCTACTCCCATTAAGAGTTACAGGCTCAGAAACTCCTATAGGGTCATTATGAGTTGGCATCATCAACTCCATGGCAGTGAGTTGTTGGTTAACAACAACCACATGTAGCTAGTGTCTATATATTGGATAATGCATTCTAAGATTTCCTCCAGTCGTTTAAAAAACAAAACACCAATTCTATCATTCTAAACACCCCACAATTCTAAGGCCAGGAATAAAATCCAGTGTCAGTAAATCAATTCCAATTCATACTCATTGGCATCAAATGGACTCATATAGAACAGAGTAGAACTGCCCCTTTGGGTTTCTAAGGCAGAAAGCCTCATCTTTCATTTCTCGTTGTAGCAGAGGGGTTCAAACTACTGACCTTGGGGGATAGCAGCTCACTGCTTAGCTATTAAATGTCTAACCATTCATTAATTCAGTACCAAAATAAAATGAAATAACCAGGCATAATTTTTTTCAGAGGCTTTTATTGTAGTTGCTATTGTTTTTATTTAATGAATACAAAAACAACAAATGTTAGGTGCAAGATAACATATAACAGCTATTGGCAGCTAGATATATACAAACACAAATATAGTCTCTGACCTCAAGCAGTTTATATCCAGTAGTAAAGAGGTAAATAAACAAAGAATTCAAGAAAATGCAAGAAGAAGGACTGAGGGGAGTTGTTCCGTAGTGAGCAAGACTAGAGAGACTCTTCCTCGGGGAAGAGTGGGTCTCTGTTAAATCCCACTTCAGTCCATCCTAACGAGGCAAGGTTGACCACTTGTGTAAACTCATTCTCTCACAAGTATGTCTGAGCTCTGAAAAATCAGAGACAGGACAGAATGCCTGCCCTAGAGGGAATGTAAAAATCCCCTGGATGATACACCTAGGTGAACATGCAATGAGAATATGATGTGGCACGTACCGCCTCAAGGGTCAGTCCTTGGTGCTATGAGCGCACACAGAAGAGGCTCCTAAACCAGTCCTGGTGCACCAGGAAAAGGTTTCAAGGATTCTAGAAAAAAAAGATAGTAGTACCTTTCTTATTGGACCTGTCTGGTATGTGTTTCTTTTGGAAATGTCCTTTTCAAGAGGCATGATAACATGGACAGACCTTTTTTCTTTCTTTCTTTTTTTATATCATTTTATTGGGGCCTCATACAACTCTTATCACAATCCATACATACATCCCTTGTGTGTCAAGCACATCTGTTGTCCTCATCATTCTCAAAACATTTGCTTTCTACTTGAGCCCTTGGTATCAGCTCATTTTTTTGTTTTTACATAGACCTTTTTTCAAGGGTACCCCTTCTTGAATACATTGCAGTCAACAAATATGCAATGCACGGTTTGACAACTGAAAAGCATCACCCTCATGTTGTTGGGAGAGTCCACCCGTGCTAGGGGCTAAATGTGTAAAGATTGGTGTTCTTTGGAGGACAGTAAGCCCCATTTGCACTGACTGCATGGCAGTGAGTGTTTGGAGTTTGGGTGAAATATTAACATCATCTTCCATGTAACATGCATGATTGCTTCAGAAAAGTTCCTTTTTATTTAAATTGTGTGTGGTTTTCTATCCAAATTCGATTTAGATCTAGCTCCAAAATCAACTTTATGAAAACTAAAGAAACAATTAGGGGCGAAAGAAAGTCCCACCAAAGTCTGAATTTAGTATTTCAACACAATCAAGTTTATTAATAGGAAATTCCTACAGAACAGCGGCCACAGCCTTGGACTGTCTGGTTCAAGTCCCAGTCTCTCAACTCAAGAGGCTGACTGGCCTCGGGGCACAGCGTTTCACTTCAATTTCCAATGCCCTGATCTGTAAACGGTAGAGAGGCATTTAATAGTGTCTATTTTACAGATTTGATGGATTAAATATTCATATATGTCAGGTACTTAAAAGTGCCTACCCAAAATATTATATATTAGCTAGTTTTTAGTACTTATAATCATTCTAGTTGCAGAAATGTACCAGAAAATAATACACATAGCCTGGCCGAGCACTTAAAAGACAAATGTAGAAAATAACGATTTGGCCAGTTCAGCAGCTTTCTCTGCTCTTCCCAGAAAAGGCACTTGATAAACACAAACTGTCAACTTTCTAATTAAAGGGGGTTTTGTTGTTGCTCGTGGGTTTTCTTTAACTATTTGCTTCCACGGCTTTAATGGAACGACTTGAGCGGGATAGGTCACGATTACTAGAAAGAGCCTAGTCAAAGGATACGCGATGTTCTGGTTTGAGTGCTTCCGTAAGAAATGTTTCCTTATAAGTGCAGAGCTAGGGCGGGACGTGGGCGCGGTGTCTACCTCAGCCCTGCACCGGGGTGGGCGCCCATCTCTGCGGGCTCTTCGTCGAAACGCTTGTTTTAAGGGGAAATCGCCCGGACCCAGCTGCAGGCCAGGGGCGGGATTCTCCGAAGCCCCGGGGTTGGTTTTTGCTCGTGGGCCCGGGGCTTCGACCGGACACTCCAGTGCCTCGTGGGGCTGCAGGGCACCCGGGCCGCGCCCTCGGGCCTCGGGCGGGGCACGCCTGGCTCGGCCGCAAGCCGCCACGTCAGGAGCCACGTCGACAAGCGCGGGCAGGTGCCAGCCGGGCGTGACCGCTTCCCGGACTGCACGCTCCGAGGCCGACCATCCTTCCCGTCCGGCCGCGTTCCCGCCAGCTACCCCCGGGGGCCTCGAGGGTCCCCGCGGCTTCCGGAAAGCACCACGGGAGGAGCCCCGACGCTCTAGGATTCCCTAGGTTTCCGTGTCGCCGGCAAACGCCGCACAAGTCGGCCCCACGCGTGGCTGACGCCGCCTCGAAACCCGCCAAGGCGCCGCGCACCTGGGAAGCCCGCTCACTCCTCCCAGCCTCCATCATCACTTCCCTCCCGACTCCCCGCCTTCCGCTCCGCTCCGCTCCCCTGCCCGCTTTGTCCTCCTCCCCCCACCTCCTTCGCCCCCTCACCCGGCGAGGCTCGAGGGGCGGCGCCTGGTGAGTCACGGTCACGTGAGTCCGGAGTGCGCAGGGGCGGGGCTG